CTGAAGCTGATGTTCCTTATAATTCTGTGTCATCTTTCTCTTGCACATCTGTTTATTAAAAGCAAACTCAAAATGATAGAGTAAAATCGGAAAATAAATAAAATGCTAAGCTCAGGCTTTGCCTGGAGAGTGGCAGTGAAAATAAATACAAACCAATATGATTTACTTTACCTCTCCGTATCAGATCGCAAGCCAATTATGTTATCCGCTGTACGTTACAGGGTTCAGTAATGAAAAAAAAAAAAAATGAAGGCGGCAGTGTCTTGTTCCGGCCAGCCCAATCCTGCCTTCTCTTTATCTCATGTGTGGCTGTGGACTTCCGTCAGGTCCTCATCCTCAAGTTTGTGGCATTTTTTTTTCTGGGCAACTTATGCTGAATTTCTAGTCTGTGAAAATACTTGTTTGTCTTCCTTCTAAAGTGGTTTCAGAGTCCAGCTGTTGTCATGCGAAGGCGATTCGTCTACCTGTGCGATGCTGTTGCTTTGCTTCGTCCATCACGACAGATGATTGTATTTACATGTGTGGATGTATTTCTGTGAATATAGAAGTGTACTTACATTTACACACACACACACACAACACAAAAAAAAAAAAAAAAAAAAAAAACACACAAGCAGATGAATAGTACTGACCAAAGAATACAAAGTTTATGATTGCTAGCTTATATTTGTCTCCGTAATCTCACAATAATTTCAGTACCTTGGAAAATCAAGCATTCTTCATATCCTGGATGGACTTGTTAATCTGCACCTTCACGTTGGAAGCCATGGTTTTCTCCAGGATCTCTCGCAAAGCCTTCCTGAAGCCGGCGCTGTGAACGTCCTTCATATTGTTGCCGTCCAAGTTGCTTGCACTTTCAAGCAGGTCGTGACCCGATCTTGCGGTGTAGCTGGCGATGTTCTGAGGCACAAGGTTGTCCAAGTTGATCTGGATATCTGCGAACAGCTTGTCCACACGCTCTACAACCTGACCAGAAACAGTCTGGGCTGGAGCTTCTCCAACACCGGCAAAGGTTACCGTGTAGTCGGCGTTGGCACGAGCGTTTTCCACGACAACCGAACCGGAGAGCACACTCTGTAAAAAGACATAATAGATCACTCATAATCATACATATACTTAACTTTAAAAAATAGAATATCATTCTTATCATGGATTTCCTTTCAAAACTCTGAAGTTAATGAGTTAAGTTAATGCCTTTAACTCATATCATACATCTTTCTTTTCATTTGACCTCATACCTGATCGGCGTTGAAGGAAGCTGACTTGGAGCGGCGCAGGGAGCAGAGTCCAGTCACGTTGGCCTTAGTGATGCTGAAGTTCTCGGAGCTGTCCGTCAGAGTTGACTTGGAAGGGCAGTTTGACTCTCCGTTCTGCACGTTTTTGGATCCACACCATCCTAGTGCTCTGTTAAAGGACACAGTTAGGAAGAAGACTCATGAAATCAGTATACAATATAATATAATAAGGAATGATAACAGTGAAACAAATATAACACCAAAAGATCACTACTACTAAAATATTACTCCATGTATGCGATAGCTCCTTCGAGCACTGCGTCGAGTATCTGGTTGGGCGTGGTAGGGTTGGCGACGGCGCGAGGCAAGATGGGCTGAGAGTCTCCGCCGTCGGCAGGGAAGAGCCCAAGCTGGTCGTCCCATTGGTTGGGTCGTGCCACGCACACGGCCAAAGTCACTGCCAGGCTTACGATCCTCAACATTTTTACGTCTGTACAAAAAAGAAAAGAAAAAAAAAGTACAATTAAAATTGTCATGATATTTGAGAGATGTATATGTACATATACAAAAAGATGTATACGTTTATTTATTCATTAATTTTTTCATGAACTCATATAAGTATAAAAACGAGTGCACACTCGCAGTGCACCAGGAGACTCACCTGATGGTACCGTCGACTGTCCCTTGAGCTCTCTTACCATCCAATATATATCTGATATTTGCTGAGACTGCAGTTTCTGAAATGACATTAGGAAGGCCAAATTCTTTCGGAAAGAAAAATCTAATGTGAAAATTAAATATGAAAGGCCTTTTCAATATCTACAGCTATGAATACATCGCGAATGATGTAATACGAATGCACGTTAAAGCAGATTTTTTTTTCCCAAAGCAGAGCAGAGAAATAAATATATATGTATGTACGTATATATATACATGTATATATTACATTTATTTCAGTCTGTTTATTCATGGCTGTATTTATATGTATGTCCATAAAAATGAAATAAAAGGATTATATGTGTTGATACACATATACTTATTCGGTGTGCATATATGTGATATATATATATATATATATATATATATATATATATATATATATATATACATATATATATATATATATCATATAATAGTGCACACACACCACACACACACACACACACACACACACACACACACACACACACAACACACACACACACAACACACACACACACACACATATATATATATATATATATATATATATAATATATATATATATGTGTGTGTGTGTGTGTGTGTGTGTGTGTGTGTGTGTGTGTGAGTGTGTATGTATGTATGTATGTATGTGTATATATAAATGTGTATGTGTATATGTATATATTTAATATATATACATATATGGGAAAATAGAGATTATTCGGAAAGTTAGATGTTCGGAATAATGCATAAACTGGGATTTTTTTTTCTATGTAGGCGAGATTATGAATTTTTTTAGCAAACGCTTTCTATATTTTAGAGTTACATAGAAACAGAGAAAATAAGTATGGCAGATAACGAAGTCCACATTATCATGGCGATTTGATATTAGATTAAGATAGCATTCCCAAACAATAAAATCAATAATCTAAAAAATAATAATAATAAAAAAAAAATAATAATAATCGTATGAAATGATGACATTACTGCTCATAACCTTTTGTGATTTCATAAAACCTCTTCATTATTAATTAACACACGTGCCAAGAAACTAAAGATATTGTTTTCTTGTTTCACGATCTCCCTCCCTCTTTCTTTTTCTTACCTCCTCTCTCTTTCTCTCCTTCCCTTTATCTCGTGCGCAAACACACAGTCACTCATGTCATGACAAAAACAGTGCTCCGTTGTTTCACATAGAAAACGGTCAGTATTTCTTTATTATCGTACTGCAGACTAACTTCATCTACTGAATATATTGTTTACAGTAACACATTAGACCGCTTCATTTTATATTCCATAAAAAATGCATCGCTGTTTATAGCATGCATAATTTGATGGAAAACGAACATTTCAATGTAAACTACAACCATCTCACAACTCTTCTGAATCATTTTCAAGATAGGATGAATACACACGCACACAAACACATACACACACGTGTGTGTTTCTAGGTATGCCTGTCTACATATGTATATGTATGCATAAGGATACGGACATACATGCATATATAATATATATCTGTATATATACGTAAATATGTGTCTGTATACATATATAAATATGCATATACACATATACAGAAAGAGAGAGAGAGTCACACGCATATATAGGTATATAACCAAATATATATATATTTATTCTGAATGTATATATGTATAGATATACATATACACCCATATATATGTACATATATATGTTCATTTAATATTTGTATGTGTATATATATATGTATATATATATATATTATATATATATATATATATATATATATATGTGTGTGTGTGTGTGTGTGTGTGTGTGTGTGTGTGTGTGTGTGTGTGTGTGTGTGTGTATGCAATGAGGATACGCACATACATGCATATGTAATATATATATATATATATATATATATAATATTATATATATATATATATATAATATATATATATATATATATATAATAATGTATATATATGTATGTGTATGTTTGTGTTTCTTTTTGTGTATATGTATGTATGTATGTATGTATGTATGTATATTCATAATATATATATTCATATATATATATATATATATATATATATATATATACACATGGATATATAAATATACATATACATACTGTGTATGTACATATATTTTGTGAATATATATAAATATACATTCATATATATATATGTAAACATATATATAGATTCATATCTGTATACATAAATTCATACATACATACATATATATATATATATATATATATATATATATATATATATATATATATATACATATACATGAGTGTTTGTATATATCCACACACAGATATAAACACATACATACATACAATATTATATATAATATATATATATATATATATATATATATGTGTGTGTGTGTGTGTGTGTGTGTGTGTGTGTGTGTGTGTGGTGTGTGTGTGTGTGTATGTATATGTATATGATACTTCATTTGGAGATGAATGCTGACACGTCCTCTATTTGCACTCTTCTAAATTTACATATGACCAAATTAAAAAAGAAAATAAGAGATTCGAAATATACGCAGAAAAAAATGCGTTTTAAAACGATATTTCATTTGAGGCGCAATCTGTTTTAGTCCTAAATAATATATCATCTGATGAGATTGAAGATTTTTTGCCGATTAACAAATTTCGAATGGAAAACATAGCGTAAAAATGTTTTCACAGGTGGTGCTTTAGTAGGAACAGGAGTTCTTCCTTTCCAAAGGTCGTACGACATTCTGAGGGATATATAAACTTCGCGGACGATTTCACATTACCAGTGGTAGCTATCCTTGGTGAGTAACGATCTCATACCTCTTACCTGTCTAATAATCCGTCCAATAGGCTAAGTATAATTCTTGCAACACAATTTTATGTAACATACATGCGTAGTCTTATGATTTTTTTTTTTTTTTTTTTTTTATCCCGTACCTATAATGAACCCCTTCGTTATTTTATCTCTTCATTTCATCCTGGAAATTCCTAAGCGGATGTTTCTCACTATGATTACTGTATAGGTTCAGGGTACAGGAAATGGATGTATTTCAAGATCTGTCACTTTTATACCACTTAATTAATTATATTTCCTTCTAGATCACACCATGTTCACTTGGCTGATGCTCTCCTGCCTCTTAGGCTTCTCCCTGGCTGAGGTTCAGGTATGAACACGCTCTTGATATGCATGTTTAAGCAAGAAATTATTACCTTTTATGTCACATATACAACAGTTCAGTTTATCTCTCATGTGAAGCATACTTAATATTACAAAAGATGACCGTTTTCTTGGTAGGATTACCAATATGTTACACGGGAAACAGCGCCGCTGAAAACAGCTGCATGAAAGTGGATGTAGACCGCCTTGCCATGAAAATTCACTTCCACATGCCTGAATCCGACGACTTCGATGACGTGGAAACTCTGGAGGATTATAGTGTGGTAAGTAATACTTGTTAGGTCATCACTGGATACTATGATGAACTTTACGTTATTGTTTTTAACTGATAATGCATGAGAAATTCTTCAATTTGTTCAGTTGTATGCATTCCGGGAAATGACCATAAATATATCAAAATTTATGCACTTCGCAGGGTCTAGCAGCATCTCGAGTTGTGTCCCAGGAGCGTGTTACGTGAGGCGACTGGTTAAATCTTTCGAGCAACAAGTAGCCTTCATCAAAGGCCATCAGGATGATGGCATGAGGGTTGAGTCTGACGTCAGAGTTTCCGCTGTTCCCTCGACAATCCTGAGGAGGAGATCGGCTCGGATCTTGCCAACTTCTGTGGCGACCTTCCCGTTTACAAACTGGTCACTGAAGAACAGAATGACAGTGTTCAAGACCGTCGTCAAGTGAGCGTCACCTTCACCCGCTGCATCCTGCTGTGTTTCATTCCCAGGTGCTTCACCACCACGCTCACTCTCCCCACTGGCTCCACCATACCTTCGGTGGCTCTTCTTTGGCTAAAATGACTGTTGAAGGAGCATTATTCTCCTTTCACTTTGGGCAAATAGGCGCTCTTTTACCTGTTTCGATGGTGTACACTCACTTTGATTAAAGGTAAATGTATTTCAACCTGTAGCTTGTTTATTATTACTTTTTTTCTAAGCACATTTTTCAGTATGTTATATACTCAAGTGGGCACTCGCGTAATACATACACAAATCCACACACACACATATACATATTATAAATGCATATCAAACTTGCTTTTCACCTGAAAAACGATGGAAACTTGAGAGCTATCTATTTTTCCTATATAAATTCGCCTACAAGAAAAAAATAAAGGTCCCTCCTGATTAAAAACCGACTTATTGCCAATTAAGTGTTGGTCACTGTGGCTTGCCTGAGTTTACACGGTCATAAGTAAAGCTTTCTCTAGTCTTCCACTAATTCATAATTTGCCCGTGCCTTTTTCTGGTTATATAACCATGTCAAAGTTTTCTTTGTATATCCATTATGTTTATAACATACGCTCGTCAGTTATTTTCATCTTTTTGTACCAATTATAGTGTTTGTTTATATATGTATGTATGTATGTATGTATAAATATGTGTGTGTGTTGTAGAACCATGCAATTGCAAAGCCACCGCTCTACCACTGAGCTATGCCATCTCTGTGTATATTTTGCCCTAGTAATCAAGTATGTTTTGGCCTGTGATATCGTAATTTCAAGTTGGTATCTTATACTTCTCAAGTACGATAAATTTGGTTTGGTTTGTATTCTACAGAATAAGACTAGTTGATCTATACTCATTCTCATCATATTATATATTAATGCACAAACCAACGAGTTTCAGAAGATACATAAAAAAAATATAAAATGTCACTACTCGAAAGTGGGTACCCTCGAAAATTTGTGTATATATATATATATATATATAATATATATATATATATATATATATATATATATATATATTATACATGTTATAATGTATACGGACATGGATATATATTATATAATATATATATATATATATATATATAATATATATATATATATATATATATAAACATGTATACAATTTATGTATTTTCTTACATTAATCCTTATAGAATATCGGAATGTATGTGAACATCTTGTGCTTGTGTTTATGCGAATATAAAGAAAAATTATAGAGACAAATGAGAATGTCCGTGCATGCAAAGGAGTGTGATGCTGCGCACCCGTGTGCAGCATCACACTATGCGGGGGAAGCAGTGAGAACATCATGAATCATGAACTTTTCAACGCTTTCCTTAATACTCGGTGAACAGTGAGAATGTGCTGTATTTTTCCGACATTAAGTAAAGAAATATACGTTACTAACAGTTTTAGAATGAAGTTTTTGAGCACTGAAATATAAAAGTAAATTGACGAAAAAGTATTGGTTTGAATAGTCTTTTCTGTATGAAATAATAAATAAAAAAAAAATCTTTCAATAACAAATCAAATTGTGTTTGTATAAGACATATATTCTGGTTTTACATGTTTTCCTAAACAAAGATAATGTATTTGGAAAAAAAATCTTTTCCGGCGGCATCAAAAGCCCTTCCTGATCTTATACAGTTATTAGATAGATCATGAAATCACTTTCTCTCGTGGATCAAATTGCTTAAAAAATGACGATAAATTGCAGGTTCCGTTGGTCTTTTTGGTCAAACCTTTATATATCATAGTTAACTTGAGTGCTTTGGACAAATATTAGTCAGTGAAGGAGTGTGATTTCATACTAATAATAATAATATCTTTTGAAGATACCAGTTAGTGTAAGGAGAAGTAGACTACACTTTCCTGGCACCTTGTGTCGTCAATGGCAAAAACCTTAGATACATATCTATAAACATATATACAATATATCCATACATACATACATACATACATATACATACTATATATATATATATATATATATATATATATATATATATATATATATATATATATATATATAATATGAATATACCTTTCTGTGTGTGCGTTCACATTCATATTTACATATACAAATATGTGTAGATATAGAACACACACACGCGTTTTATATATGATATATACACATAGATATGTGTGTGTAGTATATGTATATATACATATACACACATATATACATTGAATATATATTACATATATATATATATATATATATTATTATATTATATATATATATATATATATATATATATTCATATTCATATACACACAGGTAAATAGATATGCATATAAGTAATATATATATATACAACAAAAAACACACACATACACACTAACATATACAGCTAAATAATATATATATATATATATATTTATATATATATATTGTAAGGTATACACCTAGCTAGGGCCAGGTGCTAATCTATGTAGAGGAGCCCGAACTATCTCCGTGAGGCAGGAGAGGCTTAGGGACCAAGTGAGATCAGGGGTCCCGTTCACTCCCCTTGAAAATAGAAAAAAAAATATGTTGAAGAGAGTCTATTTAGGATGTTGCTGTTCTCTAGGTTTCTAGTCTGAGAGAATCTTTTTGAGAATGAGCGAATGAGAAGAGAGAGAATGAGCGAGAGAACGAGGAGAGAATGAGCGAGAGAACGAGGGAGAGAATGAGCGAGAGAACGAGGAGAGAATGAGGAGAACGAGAGGAATGAGCGAAGAGAACGAGGAGAGAATGAGCGAGAGAACGAGGAGAGAATGAGCGAAGAGAACGAGGAGAAATGAGCGAGAAACGAGGAGAGAATGAGCGAGAGAACGAGGAGAGAATGAGCGAGATAGAGGACGAGAGAAGGAGAGAATGAGCGAGAGAACGAGGAGAGAATGAGCGAGAGAAGAACGAGGAGAGAGAACGAGGCGAGAGAAGAACGAGAGAACGAGGAGAGAATGAACGAGAGAACGAGGAGAGAATGAACGAGAGAACGAGAAAGACGGAGAGATGAGCGAGAGACGAGGAGAGAATGAACGAGAGAACGAGGAGAGAATGAGCGAGGAGAGAATGAACGAGAGAACGGAGGAGAGAATGAACGAGAGAAACGGAGCAGAATGAAAGGAACGAGGAGAGAATGAACGAGAGAACGAGGAGAGTAGAATGAAACGAAGAAGAAGAACGAATGAGAGAGAACGAGAGAACGAATGAGAGAACGAGGAGAGAATGAGCGAGAGAACGAGGAGAGATGAACGAAGAGAACGAGGAGAGAATGAAGCGAGAGAAAGAGTGAACGGAGAAGGAGAGAATGAAACGAGGAGAGATGAACGAGAGAACGAGAATGAGCGGAGAACGAGGAGAGAACGAGGAGAGAATGAGAACGGCGAGAAACGAGGAGAGAATGAGCGGAGAGAATGAGCGAGAGAATAGAGAACGAGAGAATGAGAAATGAGCGAGAGAGAATGAGCGAGAGAATGAGAGAATGAGTAAGAGAATGAGAAGAGAAAGAAGAGAAACGAGTAAGAGAAGAGTAAGAGAGAGTAAGAGACGGAGAGAACGAGTTGAGAGAACGAGTGAGAGACGAGTGAGAGGAGGAGAGGATGAGGAGAGAATGAGTGAGAAAACAAGTGAAGACGAGAAGAGAACGAGTCAGGGTAAGAATAGAGTAGAATCAGTAAAAGTTGATTAAAAGTATGGTAAAAAAATAAAATCCTACGTAAAATGAAAGGCAGACATTAAAAAAGGAAATATTGCTTTAAACAAAACAAAAATGAGCACCAACACTTGCTGCAACATTACTGTTAAAATATTTAAAAGGAAACTTGAAAAATAACGTGACAAAAGTTAAATGAGCATCACTGGGTTCGTCTGTATTTACGCCTTATCTGCCCTTATCACTGCTTATTAAGGTTTCACGTCCAGCTTTAATAGTACCTAGGCAAGTAACACAACGGGGGTCAGTACAACCTGAGATTTTCCTGCTGCCGAGAGGGAGATGAAACGCGACAAAGTCCAAGTTGACACTGTTTATTGGTTCAAGGTCCTGGAGGTTCCAGGACCCGTGACGTCACGGAACAACGAAACATTTTTATACGTTCCTGGACGCGCGGGTGGCAGCGCGGGATCCGCGACGGGTACTGGAGGGGGTCGCGTTTGAAAGTTGACGTGCGTGCGTGTGTGCGTGCGTTGCCGTGCGTCTGCCAGACCCCCCCGCCCACCTCGCATATCTCGCAGACCCGCGCCACGTTTAACAACGCCAGCTTAACGTGGAGTGACTTGTTCTGAGAGGGGCACGTGGAGGAAGGCCTCGGTCCACGCGCGGCGCCCTCGGTGCACCCCGTAAGGTGTGGAAGGGCGTTTCTCAGAGCGAGCGACCCGGTGTTGGAAAGGCAGGTGCTGCGGGTGAGCCCAGGAGAATCCACCAAGTGCAATGCCCGCGGCGGGCGCGAGGGCGGGCCGAGATGTCATCCACGAGACTCCATCATTGCCGTCCTTGGATGTCTACTTCTAGCTCATTGTTCGAGCGGCGCGAGGCAGCCCTTCAGGGTTGGCCTCGCAATGTCCGCCCGCGCCGAGGAGGCACGCCGCCTGAAATCCGTTACTGGTCGGGAATTGAAGCAATTAAGCATCCACCAGGGATAGATTCAGGTTTCAATTTAAGCCTCGTAACCGCCTTGGCGGCGAAGGTGGCTGTGTTTGCTTGCGGGTTCTGTGGGTTGATTAAAACACAATGCACGTCTGTGGCCACCTGTCCATACAAGGCAGTAGCCCCCTCCTCCCGTGGGCCAAGGCCAGCGTAGGACGTGCAGTGTGACTGGCATACTGGCTGCATTTTGAATCAAGGGCCGTTATGAAGCGCGGCGCGGGCGCTGGTGCACCTGCCTAAGGACGGAGGGGAGGGGAGGGAGGTCATCTTTAAGAGCTTCTTGCCCCGAGAGGAGCGGCGGCGAGGGCGGGCGCGCTGCTCCTCGGCGCGCCGTGAATGCGCATATTCATGCAAGCAGTGACTGAGGAAAGCAGACAGCCGGACAAACGCGCAGGA